AACACAACGGTGATAAGTGAAAAAAATTTTTGATTGTGCCCCTAGGAATGAGGAGGTTACCCACAATAACGAGTTTTTTTTGTTTTTTGTACTCCATCATTATCACGACAATGGTTGGAAAAAATCATAAATCGAGAAAATTATTACGGGTACTAAACCGAAAAAAAATTTTAAGAAATGGATAGAAAAAAAGAAAAGTGCTGGACACAAATCGAAAACAACAAAAAAAAAAAAAAAAAAAAAACTCATGAAAAAAAAGGGAAAGAAAGAAAGAAAGAAAGAAAATATGAAAAAAATTTTCTTTTTTTTTTTAAATATTTTCCAAAGAGCTTTTTTTTTAAAAAAAAAAAAGTTTCCATAGAAAATTCTATGGAAAACATCTGGCAAGCAAGCGCAGACTTTCTACGGTAGATCAATAAGTCAAGAGGCCCTGAAGCATTTTACGGATGAAGGAAGGAAGGAGGGGAGGGGGAGGAGGGAGGGAGTGTCTCTTGGGGAGAAAAGTATAATGCGGCTTCACGGGCTTTTCAATGGGGGGAGGTTCTATTCTACGAATAGGGGAAATTTAGAAAGTAAATGAAAATTGGGAAGCCATGTTTTCATTAGAAAATTTTCCCTTGGAAAAAGGTTTCGATTCAACTACAACAACGACAACAACAAAATAATAATAATAATAATAATAATAATAATAATGACTGAATGCTTTTAGTTAGTTTTTATTTATTTCGTTTTCTTGCTTATACGATTAGATTTTTCCGACCCTAAATTTTTATTTTAACGAACAAAATAAATAAATAAAATAAAACAAAAATTCGTAATTTTCTTTTTTTTAAAATAATTTTCACGGAGGAAACCTTCACGTAACGAAAAATCGATACAAGAAAAAAAAACAAAATTACACTTTATTACCGCCTGAACAAAACAACAAAAGGTTCACGCTGATTTAGACCACCCTGATAGTAAACGTAGCCATCTTTTATATACTATATAATTAACAAATAACGTAATTAATAAACTTTAAAAAAAAAAACCTTTTGGGAGGACAAAAATTCATCTTATAAATTAGATAAGGTGTGGTGGTACTCATCTTTCTTCAGCACCTGTGTCAATTCTTATGTGTGTGTGTGTGTGTGTTCATTTTTAATATTGCATTGTTGTGTGGAACCGATTTTTAATAATAATAATAATAAATAATTTAAAAAAAAATTTTTTTTTTTTAGCGTTGGTTCGTAAACGTAAGAAAAGAAATATTATTATTAATTTTAAACCTTTCTTTAAAAAATCATTTTCATTCTCACTATCAAACAACATTCTGTTAACCCTCGTGGCCATTTTGGATCCTTTTTTTTTTTACATATGATCATAATGATGAAACCTTAGATAATGAGGCTAACAATTAACGGTCAATAATATTTAAACGGCCCACCCAGTTTGGTCAAAAAAAAAAAAAAACAATTTTTCCGCCGTGGGATGATTTTTTAATGTAATGACTAAAACGTATTCCTTAGCAATTATAATTTCATGTTTTACATTTTAATTGAAAAAAAAAAAAAAAAAAGTTAAAAACCTTTGATTGAGGGGACCCCCCTCCCTCCCTTGAACCCTTTAAGGTATTTCAATCAAATGAAAAATTTTTTATTTTAATTATGTATTTTAGTTACATGTCGATTTAATGATCGGTTATTTTTTTTTTTTTTTTTTTTTTAAATATGTATTATTAACCTTAGCATGCATTTATTTTATACAAATAATTTTAATATATTTATTTATTTATTTATCTATGTATTTTTAAATTATGTTCGGATGAAAATTTTTTAAACAAAGTTCATCGACTTTTGAAAAAAAAAATATAAACAAAATAACTATGTTATTATTATTATACGTTAAGGGTTGGCAACAGCAGCCATTTTTAATTACGTGGCAGAAGAAACCACGGACAAACCATTCATTGTCGTATTAAGAATTATATACGTTGCGGGTATGTATAAACCACAAATAAAGAAATGTGGATGCTACAATTATTATTTTTATATATTTTTTTCAATATTGAAAATTTTTTTTTTTTACTCAGATACGGGTATTATTATTCGTGATTGAACGTCGTCGACGTCGTCGTCGTCGTCGTCGTCGTCGTCAATCACGTTACTTTTCCTATAAAAGGATGAACTACAAATCGAAGGTTTGCTCCCCCAAGGATCAAAATGAGTCAACCATTATCGGCACACGGTTTGACCAACGTTCGGGCAACCTCCCTCCCTTACAATTCGGTTTACTCCCTTGCGACTCCATTAGTCACCGGAACTTTATTCACGAATCCTCGAATAAAAGCATTTTGACATGCATATTTGATTGTATATATATATAGTTCCGGCCACGTGGTTTTATATTTTCAAAATGGTTTATCAATATGTAATATCTATTTTCTATTTTTTTTTTTCAAACTCTCAAGAGTTATATATTATTCAACAACAAAAAAAAAATTTTTTTTTTTTTTTTATTATAAAAACGTGTTTTTATAGCGCATAATACATATTTACATTTACTTTATCATTATTATTTGTTTTTTTTTTTTTTTGTATAACTTGACTTTTACAATTTTCCTAAGTAATTATTTAAATAATTAAGCCTGATACCAGCCAGAGTTTTTCCTATAGTTTTTTACTTTTAAATTTTTTTGTTTGATTTTCTAAGATTTTCATTAAAAAAAAAAAAAAAAGGAAAATTTTTTTTTTTTTTTAAGAGTCCCTAGAAAGAACCCATCATCCCTTATAGGAGGAAAAAGGGGCTTTAAATTGCATTACTGCAAATATATGTGATGTGAATTTAGGGTTGACGTTAATATTTTCCCCGTTTAAACTTTTAGAAATGTTCCTAGATGAGTTCCATCATTTTTTTTTTTTTTTTTATTTATAATGTTTAACATTTGATGCCATTCTTCGTTTCATTTGTTAACTCATTCAATTCATTTGCCAGATTGTCAATTGTTAGCAATGTGTTATCTTTTTTTTTTTGTTTATAAAATAAGAAACAAATTGAACTTTATGTGTTTGCAAGGTTTTTATTTAAGGGATCCATTTGGCCATTTTTTTTTTTTTTTTAAGTACGACCGTAAACAACTTAAACGTAATGAGATTTCTTTTTTTTTTTTTGTACACTTTACCAAATGTTATAATTTTTCTTATTATTAAATAATATTTTTTAATAAAAAAAAAAAAAAAATTGATTAAAATTGAAATAAAAAAAAAAAAAGATTTAACCGAGCGTACAAAAAATTTTTTTTTTTTTTTGATCATGTGAGAATTTAATAATAATGAAAAGCAAAAAGGTACAAGTAAGATAGTACCTGAGAATTTAATTAAGATTTAATTACACTCTATTATATTACATTTTAGATATTTTTAAAAAGATAAAAAAAAATTTTTTCTTTCTTTTTCTTCCATGGTTACCACGTTAGTTACTACGCAAGGCATTAAAAGACGTAACCATAGTTACGTAAGAGAATTTTTTTTAAAAGTAAAAAGGTTTGTTATCACACAAAAAGACTTTTATTAAATTTCCAGAATGCAATCACGTTAGGTCTTTTATAAATCTCTCCAGATTTCCATTGTTCCGTATCCATGGAAATGGAGAGTATAATAAAAATCTTTAAAAATGGCTCCTTCCTTCCTTCTTTCCCTTTTTTTTTTTTAAATTCGCGCATTTGTAAAAAAAAAAATAAATAAATCAAATTAAAAAATTTTTCTTTTTTTTTTTTTATCGAATTTACGCACGACTAAATGTTATCAATAAATATATAACGTTATCTATCAATATAATAAATAAATAAAAGATGAAATTTACATAAAAAGTTGTTCTCATAAGAAAACTCATACGTGTCAACAATAAGTGTCTACGACTGAGGAATTTAAAAAATTTTTAATAACAGAATGAATACACAATGATTTTAATTAATGTGAAAATCCTTTAAAAAGAAAAGAAACGAGGGTGGTAGCAGAAAGCAATCAATCAATCACAAAAAATTTTTATGAGAAATAATCATTTGACCCTAAATAAAATCCTATTAAATTTTTTTTTTCTTCTTCTTTCATTTAAAGACTTCGCTTTGCCATTATTGCAATTAAATGCATCTACTACAAAATATTTTAGGATTTCATATATATTGCATTAATATATATATATATAAAATGATAAGCCGTGTGTCCGTGAGACGTGGGGGGGGGAACAGGACACGTGCACGAACACGTGTATGCCTTACATTAAATATACAACTACCCTGCAGAGTTAATCCCGTTGTCATTTTTGTCACTACACGTGGTTAAGCCAAGAAAAAAAAATGAGGGAAAGCAGAGAAATTATTCATTTCTTTTTTTTTTTTTGGGGGGGGGGGTTTTCAAAAAATTAAAAAATTTTTGAAAGGCGATATTTCTCATTCGATTCGTTATTGTTATTATTATTATTATTAATACGATTTCGTTTGTTTTATTAATTAAAAAAGAAAAATTAAAATTTTTACCTTTTGTTTGCAGAAGTACCACCATTTGCAGCCCAAATTTGTTTCATTTCAAATTTGAAAAAAAACATTTTTTTTAAAAACTATTCTTACTTTTAAACACAAACGTAAAAAATTATTTAATTATTAACTTATTTAAACTAATTCATTTGTTTATTCCTTTTTTTTTTTGTTTAAATTTTAAATTAAAAACGAATTTAAAAAAAAAAAAGAAAAACGACAGACTGTTACGGTTGATGAAAGTAAAATGAATTACTACATGCACTCTAGCGGCAAATCATTGAACTAAATAACTCAAAATAATAACTTATTCTGAATCTTGGTTTTAGGTTAAGTCATGGTGCCTTTTTTTTAACCAAATGTAATTTCATATACAAAACATAATAAGATTATATTAAAATAATTACTATTAGTATTGTAGTTTAATTTTTTATACTAAAGACTTTAATTTAATTTATATGAGTTCAATTTCTATTTGACAAAGAAAATAATGGCGAAATCAAAAGTAAATGCTGAATGGAAAAAAAGGGTCAAGTCAGAATATTTAAGGTTGAGGCAACAAAAAAGATACAAAAGAGCCGATGAAGTTAAAGTTGCATGGAATAGTAATAGAACTGCATTAAATCATAATTTATCGTTAGAAGAGAAACGTTGGTTGGAAAGTAAAAATTATTGGGTTTGCATGAAAAACCCTCCTCCTCATGCTGATTCCATGAAGAGAGCTGAAATTCAAATTTCAGATGGGGAAACAATTAGTTTCCCCATTAAAACTATATATGCTGTCACCCCTATTCCAACTATGTATACCTGGGCTCCTATTCAACAAAATTTTATGGTTGAAGATGAGACAGTACTTCATAATATTCCTTACATGGGAGATGAAGTACTGGAACATGATGGAACTTTTATTGAAGAACTGATTAAAAATTACGATGGAAAGGTTCATGGAGATAGAGAAACTGGTTTCATTGATGATCAAATATTTTTAGAATTGGTTAACACTTTAATTCAATATCAAGACAAAGACCTAATTGATAAAGATACAGAAAAAGATAAAGAGAAAGATGTAGAAAAAGAAAAAGATAAAAGAGACACAAAGAAAGCATTTCCAGTTTTTGAAATTTTTCAAGCGATAGCCCTCATGTTTCCCGATAAGGGAAGTCCAGAAGAACTTAGAGATAAATATATTGAATTGTCAGAAAGATTAGATCCCAATGCAGTACCACCTGAATGCACTCCTAATATTGATGGTCCTGTAGCTGAAAATGTCCCAAGAGAACAAACAATGCATTCATTTCACACTTTATTTTGCAGGAGGTGTTTCAAATATGATTGCTTTCTTCATCGTAAGTCTATTGTAATATTATCGAATTTGTTTTTTTTAATCAAAAATGTTATTTTGTTGTTAGGAATGCACTAAATATTGCCATTCTAAAACCCTTCATTACAGCATTATTCAATAGTATATACTTTTTGTTCATAAACTGTGAATAATTATAGGTTTACAGGCTTGCCATCCAGGCCCGAATCTTCAAAAACGTAAACCTCCTGATTTGGGGCCATTTGATCAACCTTGTAGCCCTGATTGTTACATGCTCATGGAAGGAATGAAAGAAAAACTAGCAGCAGCTGCAGTAACAAGAGATAAAGAAACTGGAATAACTGAAGAAAATGAATCTGGAAACAAACCGAGGAGAGTTAAAAAACAAACCTCTGTCGACTCAGGAAATGAAGCTAGTTCGGAAGATAGTAATGATAGTAATAGATTTCACAAAGATTTTAAAACCAGCGGCAAAACATCTCCAAACATTATGAATATGAACCAAGAAGGAACGAGCACAGGTCCATTTTCTCTCTTGGGATTAATACCTAGCAATCAAGCAGAAGAATGGACAGGATCCGATCAGTCCCTGTTTAGAGCATTACACAAAATCTTTTTAAACAATTATTGCGCTATTAAAGACTGCATGCTGACAAAAACCTGCAGACAAATCTATGAATTTGCTCAAAAAGAAGCAGCAGAATTACTTCCGGCTGAAAGTATGAAAGATTACACCCCACCGAGAAAGAAAAAAAAGAAGCATAGATTATGGTCCGTTCACTGCAGGCAAGTAAAACATTTCATTCTTCATGAGAACGCCTGTAATATAAAATTATCAAAACATATTATTATTATTATTATTATTATTATTATTATTAAAATGAAACAACTCATTGTTTCTTTAAATAGGAAAATTCAACTTAAAAAAGATTCCAGCAGCAATCACGTTTATAATTTTACTCCTTGCGATCATCCTAATCTTTCTTGCGACGCCATGTGTCCCTGCATCGGAGCTCAAAATTTCTGTGAAAAATTTTGCCAGTGCAGTTCGGATTGTCAGAATCGATTTCCCGGATGTCGGTGCAAAGCTCAATGTAATACGAAACAATGTCCCTGTTATTTGGCCGTACGGGAATGCGATCCGGATTTATGTCAAACTTGCGGAGCCGATCAATTTCAAATAGCAAACATATCATGCAAAAATGTCAGCGTTCAAAGAGGCCTACGTATGTGTTACGGAATCGAGACGCATTTTTTTAAGTTTTTCTTTAACTAATTCGATTGTCATATTCCAGATAAACATTTATTGATGGCACCCTCGGATGTTGCCGGTTGGGGTATATTTTTAAAGGAAAGCGCTCAAAAGAATGAATTCATATCTGAATATTGCGGAGAAATAATATCGCAAGATGAAGCCGACAGAAGAGGAAAAGTTTACGATAAATACATGTGCAGTTTTTTATTCAATTTAAACAACGGTAATGGGAAATGTGTTGTTTGTACAACAACCTTTGTACCTGAAATTATAAGCAGAAGACAAAATTATAATTTTTTTTATTTTGTAGATTTTGTAGTGGATGCGACACGAAAGGGTAATAAAATTCGATTTGCCAATCATTCTATAAATCCAAATTGCTACGCCAAAGTAATGATGGTTAACGGAGATCACAGAATTGGAATATTTGCCAAAAGAGCCATACAACCTGGAGAAGAACTTTTTTTCGATTATCGTTACGGACCAACGGAACAATTAAAATTTGTTGGAATCGAAAGAGAAATGGAATTTTTGTGATTGTTGAAATTTCATAATTAACCGAAGAGCTCGAAAAAAAAAAAAAAAAAAAAAAATTTTTCTTCTTTTCCGGTTCTTATTAATTTGGATTTATCATAGACTGATGAACTGAATTATATACGAAAAGTTTTCTTTTTCTTTTTTTTATGAATGAATTTTTAATTTATTTCGCGGTTTAATTATTACTATTATTTTCGTTTGTTTGTTTGTATTAATTCAATCGATCAATCAATCAATATAAATACTTTGACTGAAATCTAACAATTTCGAGAACTGATTTACCGAAAAAAAAAAAAAAAAAAAAAAGAAACAAAAAAAAAAACCAAAGCAATTTTTTAAATTTCTTTAACTATTTAGAAAAAAAAAAACGTGTTTAACTTTAGATTTAGAGACTTTTTTTTTTTAAATTTCACCGAGATAGTTATATAAGACTGATACATTTTATTAATGGATCATTAATTATTTTAAAAAAATAAAAAAATTTTTTTTTTTGTTCACCGACTGTTTATAAATAAACCATTTTGTCTTTTTAAATTTTCCTTTTTTTCCCCCTCTCTCTCTCTCTCTCTCTCTCACGCACACGCTAACGTTAATTTGAAAAAAAAAAAAAAAAAAAAGAAATTTTCTTTCTTTTCCGATATCTTTTAAGGGTGGTAAAAATTAAGAACATAAATTAAGAAAAATTTCAATTCAAAATATTTAAACTAATTAGTTTTATTTAATTAACAAACCCTTAGCCTTTTTTTAAAAGCATAAACTAAGTCATACATATTTACGGTAACGGTTTTAGTTAATTATTTTTCCACGTGTATTTATATATATATATATATACGGAGATGAATTTTACTAACATCGTTAAATAAAACGATTATAAGAAAATAAAATCGCACTAAATCTTTGTTGGAAAAGTACCTTCATCTATATCGGTCGTCCATTTTTCAATCCATGCATTTGGACATAACGAACGATAGACTTTTTTAAATGACTGACATATTTCCGCCGAGTCTCCATTATTCTTTGCGCATCTATGATAATCGACAAAGTAATTGTAACAATGTCTGAAAATAAAAATAAAAAATTAAAAATGTCAAACTTTTCCTTTAATACACCAATAATTCCCGACACATTTAAATAATAATAATAATAATAAAATGAAAATTATATTGTAAAACTTACCTTGTTTGATTTGTATTTGGAAATCTGGGATCGTATGGAGCCGTTGAAAATTCTTGAACTTCACTTTTCCCCATATTTATTTTAACGTACACCTGAAAATACAAAAAAAAAAAAAAAAAACTTTTCGAATATAAATTTATTTATTTTTTTATTTTAATTATAAGGATGATGATTTTTTTAATTTATCGTCAAGTTAAATCGATAATAATAATAATAATAATTATATTTATACAACACTTTAATTTCAAATGCAAATTATTATTTATTTTTTTAATTTTTTCCTCGCTGTGTTTTAATAAAAAAAAAAAAAAAAATTATTTATTTATTTATTTACGTATAAACATTTTAACATAAATAATAATTTAATAATAATAATAATAATTTTTATTAATTTTAATTGATTTCATTTATTTGCCGGTATATGTGTACCCATCCATCATCAAACTCATAAATTTATTTATTTATTTTAAAAATTAATAAATAAAAATGATTTTTTCTTTTTCTTTTAAATAAATAAATAAATAAATAATTGTGCATTTTCATCACAATTAACATTAAATAATATTATTATTATTATTATTATTTATATTTATTTTAATTTAATTTAAGAAAAAAAAAATGTTAACAATAATAATTTCATTGACAAAGGATAATAAAAATTCATTATATATTTTTTTTATTGATTGATTGATTTATTGATTCATATTAAATTATCAACCGTTATTTGATTATTATTATTATTAACAAAAATAATTTTTTTTTCATTTTCTTTTACATTAAACAAATTTAGGATTAAATAAATAAATAAATAAAAATTCAACGATTGCTTTTTTTAAAAATTAAATTAACATTTCATTTTCATTTTTTAAAACCTTTTTTGATTTTAATTAACTTTGTTCAATGCATTATTATTATTATTATTATTAATATTAATATTATTATTATTATTATTATTTATATTAAATAGATAAAAATTGTAAAAGCAATAGCCTTTTTGTTTTTTTATGCTCATTCAATTACATAAAATCCTTCTCGAGTTACAAATAATAAAACAAAATCTGATGCCAAAAAAACCACAACTTTATCACGTACAATAAAAATACATTTTTCCCCTCTCCCCTCCTCCTCTCCCCCTTCCTATCTTATGCTTTTTTAAAGTAAACAAATTTTTAATAATTGATGATGTATGTATCGATATAGTCCTTATTGATCAATCAAAAATAATAATAATTACAATGTTTACTTTCCGATTGCAAAACTAAACCACAAAATGAATAATAATAATAATAATAATAATATTATTGAAAAATAATTTTTTTTTTGTCTTCTCGCTTTAATTTTTAAAAACTAAATATACAATTATTAATTACATGTACAAATCAAAGCTTAACAACAATAACAACAACAACATTTGTGAAACGAAATGCATTTAAATTTTTTCTTTTTTTCTTCTTCTTTTTTCCAACTCGTTTGTATATAAAAAAATTGTAAAAAAAAAAAAAAATAAATAAATAAATTTATGTTTGAGGAGCAGTAAGCAAAAGAGAATAAAATAAAAAAATGTTTTTTTTTCATTAAATCAACTCATCCTAATATATTCAAGTGGTTTTTCCTTCATTGAAAATTTTTTAAATGTGTCAGAGCTTATGAAAAAACGAAAATAATTTTTCCAGCTTCTTTCTCACGTATGTGAAAATGCTGATTTTCATAACTACATCTACGTATATTAAAAAACCATCATCATCATCATCATCATCATCATAATCAATAAAAATGATTAATTATCATAAACTATACAAAATAAAAAATTTGTGTTTATATGATGATGTAATATTAGCATAAAATAAATATTTACAACAACGGATAAATTAACCTAACTAAACTTATTATTTCTCTCTTTCCTTCTCAACACTCATATTATTTATTTTATTTGAAGTAAAACCACCATTTTTTAAAATTTTCTGTTTATTCTATTCCTTTCATACTGTTTGTTTTTTTAATACTGCTCACACAATTTATTTAACTAAAGGTCTGGTTTTCCCTTCTTCTTCGCAACTGGCTTCTCTATATTTTTTAACTTCTGCCATATACATGGACCAAGCATCTTTAGGATTTTTTTCCTCTTCGTTTTCACCCTCTTTTTTAACCTTTTTAACAAGGCCAGTCTTTAAAACTCTTCCTCCTCTCCTTTTACCTACTATTCCAGAAAGAATGACGGGAGGTTTTTTAACAGAGGTCGTCGTATCACCTATTTCATTACTTTTTTTTTCAATATTACCTAAAATGTAAATTTTTATTTGCAAAAATAATTTTAGTTGATTCCCTTTAAAAAAAGAAAAACCGAGAGAATGATTTGACCGAAAGGTTTTGTGAAAATGCACATGCAACTTAACCACAATTTGAAAAACTTACTTGCAGCTTCTTTATTTTTTTCGTCTTTCATTTTTTTAAACATTTCCATAAATGATCCATCGTTTTTAAACGTGTTGGGTATTTCTCTTGGAGGAGATTGAGATTCGTCCGTTTCTAAATTAGAAGATCTATCAGATAAAGATATTTCCTTTTCATCTCTTGAAACCTCGTCACCGTCAACTTGAGCATTAAACCGATCGACGGGACTAGATGCTGGAGATGTATTATTAAAACTAGTAACAGGTACAGAAGTTGAGGAAGACCCAGTTGTTGATAAATTTCCGGCATTTAATGAATTTGCTTGCCACTTCAGATTATTCGGAGCCGGTGGTCTGTTTCTTATATTAAGAAAAGGAGGAGGGGGTACTGGTCGTACACCAGAACTCGTCGGAGAAGATGTCATCATTCTTAACATATTGTTACTACCCATAATACCTCCAGGATTGGCAAGCATATTTGTTTGAGTTGTGCACACTAAGTTTGAGGGTGCCATGGTGTTCATTACTCCTCCCATAACTACGAGGCTGCCTGGATTTCCAACCAAAGGATTCGTCAAAACATTTCCAGGATTAACGACCATACTTCCGGAATTTGTTATCACACCATTCCCCGCATTCTGCATACCAATTATACTGCTTGTAGGTCCGGCAACACCTATAGGTCTCGTCATTCCTATTAAATTGTTGTTTTGCCTTGAGATACCTAATAAACTATTTGCATTTTGTACACCAACAACACTGGGTCTAGACATGTGCAACATACTGTTTCCAGCAGCAGCAGCAGCAGCCATCCTCATCATATTTCCCTGCATGGACATGTTCATTCCTCCCACTGCAGGGTTTATAATACCAGCTTGAAGGCCCATTACATTTCCTTGTCCTGCCATAGTGCTTCCTGGTAAACTCACAATATTTCCCTGCATGTTAATTAGCCCTGCAATTTGACCAGGCATAGCATTCATACCAATCATGTTATTAGTTATAGGATTGCCTGAATTAGTCATTATTCCACCTATTGGAGCAGGTCCACGTAGCATATTGCCAGGCATTCCCATCATGTGACCTGATAATATATTTTGGCCACCCACACCGACAGATGATGAAACCAACATTGGAGCCATATTCATAACAGGAGTCTGTGGAACAACTATAGGAGGAACAACAACTACAGGGGGAACCACCCCTATCTGTGGTCTAGAAACATTTACAGGAGAAGAAATAGAGGTTGTGATAATACTTTGATTAGTTCCAGTATTTTCTCCTTTGTCACACATTTTTACATTGGAGTTTTTTATGCTTTTGAATTCTTCGTTTATCTTTTCCGCACCAGCAGGACCACTAGGAGATAAACTACTATCGCTTTTTGATGGTTCGTTATTTTTATCTGTTAATTTGTCTTCCCCGCTGCTATCAGATTTTGTTTTATCTTCTGAATTTTTTTTTAAATCTTCATTGTCCTTCTCATCATCAGAACTAGAATCAAATTTATAATCATATTTCACTTTTGTTCTAGAAGGACTGTATACTTTTTTAACTTCTAGTTTCTTCGATGATTTATCAGATGCATCTGAAGGGGTGCAAGGCAGTTTAACATTGTAAAATTCATCATCACTATCACCTGATCCCATTTCACCTTCATTATTTATTTTTTCTTCATTCATGATGACTTCTGCAAATAATTAAATCCATAAGTAAATAAAACCCTTAAAAAAAAATTATCAAGTACATAAAACATCAGTAAATCAAGAGAAATAAAATTTATATGTAATAGTCAAAATTTTTTTTCGATATCTGGAACTGTTTTTACTATTATGAACAATTTAGATTAAAAAAATAATTTTTGGCCTCACTTTTCTTAACATTACAAGATAATGTAATAAAATTTTCATAGATTCATAAAAATAATAAAAAATTAAATATAAATTTCATTGGCTTTTGCTAATATCGAAAGTTACGATATATAATCGTTGATCTTGGTAAAGAAACTTAAAAAAAAAAAAAGGTAATATCATTATATTAGAAAATGACTTACTTTTCGCTCAATCTGACAGATGAATCTTGAAAAACCGAGAAACAATTCAAGTATGATTTCATATCAGGAATCACATTTCAATTGAAGAAGTCGTCTCATTAATATTTAAGCAACCTGGAAAAAAAACTCCCACAATAATTTTTTTATTCCAGAATAGGCTGAAAAACAAGTTTTAACTAAGATGAAATTCTATCTGAAAATACAAAAAAGCAGCTTTTAAATAATAATAATAATAATAATAGTTATATATTGAAACTATTTACAATAACAAGAAAAACTTTAAAAATAAAATTATTAAAGCTAAAATATAGGTTGTAACCTATATTAAATTGAGAAATAAAACAAGGCAAAAAGATTCAGCTAAAATAATATATTAAAAAAAAAAAAATACACAAATTATACTTTTAACTTAATATTTTAATTTTAAAAAATATTATGCATTACCTGTAATTTTTATCATTAATTTTAAGTTCACACAATACCACCCACAAAATTTTCCCTTTTTATTTAAAAAATTATTTTAATAAAATTAAAAAACCACACACAACTTTTTTTTTTTTTAAAAAAAAGAAAACAAATGCGGATCGACATCGCAGGTTTTTGCAATTAAACTTAATAAAATAAATTCAACGAAAAACTTAAGGCCGTATAAAATATTCAATAATAACAAACTTGATGTAAAACTAAAGCTTATGAACACTGGATTTGTTAATCGTATGTCCCAAACTGTATTGTAATAAATTACCACATGATGAAAAATATCGTAATGCAATTTTTTTTTTTTTAAAAAAGTCCCCGTATTTTCTCCATAAATATTTAATATAAAAATAAACACTAATGTTTAATAAAATAAACAAAATTAAACCCGAATCGCTTGCGACGAATTTAAACGTATAAAACAATTTATAAAAAAAAAAAAAAAAAAAAAATTTATCGGAGCTCAATTTTCAATGACCGCAAACCAGGTAAATTATAGAAATATTTTTACGAATTACCATCGTTTACTCGTTAAATAAATATTATAAAGTAAAAAAAAATAAAATGAAATAATCATAAAATTATATCTAATAAAAATTTTTAAAATTAATAATGTATAAAATACCTTTTTTTTGTAGCAGTGAAAAATTGCCTTTACCTAGAAAAAAAGATACTTTACTGGGCAGAAATCCTTGATCTTTTTAATTTTCCATTTGCCGCTAGTTTGCCGCATTAAAGTTTAAAACTTATTATAACTATTATTTTAAATAATAACCCAATAAAATAATTTTTAAATGAAATGTTTTTGTTAAAAAAAAAAGAAAAAAGAAGCAATTTTAAAATAAATTTAATATTTTAAAGCATTCAATTGCTATTTTTTATTATTATTAATTTTGCTCTGTAATTTCTCCCTAATTCACTATAGTATTAATATATATCGCGTTCGCGTCATATTGTATTTTTATTAATAATACGTTGTTTATCATAAATCATTATTTGTATTTTGTAAATTTAACTTCTAATTAAGTAAGTTAAATAGTATTATGCAAATAATAATTTTAATTTTTACTTTCCTACAATATTTTAGACTTAAACCTTTTTTTAAACTTGAAACCGATAAATTTAAAATTCATCAATGATGGCGGTGTTGTTTTTTAATCTTATCGGAAGCCGCCGCTTTTTTTTCTTTTAATGTATTTATCGTTTTACCGCCTTGTAATTACTGCTCTCATTCTAATGAATCCTCTCTTTTTTAATAAATGTTTGAAATAATATGCTTTTTTTAAAAATATTTTGTCCTAAGCTTTTACTTATACCGATACTTTTGTAGAAAAATATATAAATAAATTTAAATTTAAAAACAAGCGGTTTTTTTTTTTTGATTCCTTTGCTTTAATGATATTTTTATTCATAATTGAAATATTTAAAATAAAATTTTGACTCATATTTTTATTCAATTGCACTTGGTTTAAATTATTTTTTCCGATTTGTTTTTAGTTTGACGAAAATGAAAAAAAAATCTAATCGCGATGATTCAGATGAATTTGACGTTGATGAACCAGAAGAATTTAAAGATTCTGGATCAGATTGGGATCTTGAAGAAGAGGTTATTATAAAAAAGAATTTTTTTGTTTTTACATGTTTTGATATAGTAAATAAAAATTAAATACTTACCTTGTAGGAAGCTGGAAAAAAACGTAAGGGAAGACCCAAAGCTACACCTAAAAAAACAACTAGTAATAAAAAAAAGAAAGTTGAAAGTCCTCCACCTGAAGAAGAGGATGTAGAAAATGAAGAGGAGGAAGCAGGAGGAGAAGAAGAAGAAGAAGAAGAAGAAGAAGAAGAAGAATCTGAAGAAGAGTCTGCAGGAGTAAGTTTATTTTCATAAATTTTATTATAAAAACAATTGATACTTATTTATCGTTATCGAAATACATAATTATTTAAAAATATAAACTTTTCAAATCCTGCGCTTTTAAACTCGAGTAATAATTTATTACTTATTGTAATTTGTTATTACCTTTATCAAATATTTATAATTGAGGATAACTATATTATCTATTTTCAGCAAGAGCAGACAGGTGCTAATGGAACCACCACTCCTAATATTACAATAAAGGCATTCACAGTAAGTCCTATTAAAACAAATTTTTAATAAGGCTTAATTTTTGTGAAAACATACATAACAAACTAAAAAAATTCAAAATTTGTTATTTTTTTTTTCATGGCTGTAAAATCTGTATCCTTATATAGACTTCAATTTTAATTAAAAATTTAAGAAAAAAGAAAAGGAAAATTGCATGTTAGCATATGATTCTTATTTTTAAATTATGATTAAGGGTGGTGGTTAACATTTAAACTAATTATTTTCGAGAAGAAGAAAGAAAAAAAATTAACTGTGACTAACTGTCGGCACAATTTGCTAATTTGAAATATTCTACAGGTTTAAAAATAAATTTTTAACGTTTTTATTTTACAGAATGGTTCATTTGTAGTATTAAAAACAGATTTTCAAACAAAAGAAAATCCACCCATATGGAAAATTGATGGGAAAGCTCTATTACAAAAATATATACCTTTCGAACAAGATGGTAAAACATTATATAAAAATACATCGACATATTCAGGATGGACACAGAGTAATCAAGATCATTACACTCCAGCTCCAGTAACATATGTTCAACAAGGGAAAAAAGAAATTATAATAGAATTTAATAGAAATGAAGTTCACATGTAATTAAATAATTTTAATTACTTTTTTTTTTTTTTTTTTTGTTAATGATCAATTGAAAATTAATAAATAATAATTATTTTTCTTATTCATATAGAGATGAAGAAAAAAAAGATGAAAGAAAAAATGAAGAAGAAGCGACGACCGTTAAGGCATAAATTTAATTTTTTTTTTTTTTAGTTTTTTAAACAGTAAAACAAATCAAATAATTTTTTTAATGTAGAGCAAACGATTTCAGTTGTATAATATTAAAATAAAAAAAAGAATTCGTATGCTCTCTCTCTCTCTCTCTCTCTCTTTCTGTTTTTATTAAATCCCCTGCTTTTACATTACTTTCTCTCTCTCTCTCTCTCTCTTTTACGTGTAATTTATTATACCGGATAAATGTGTAAAAAAATTCCAGGTTCATTCCCGGGAAAATTAATTGATCGTGCTCAAACTTAGAAAATAAATTTATAGATTTTCTGTATAAAATAATAATAATAATTGATATTTTGTTTCATTTAATATAATAATAAATAATAATAATAATATTTATTTTATTAAAATAAATAAAATGTGTATGTAAAATTATGTAATTTTAATAATTCGAATTTTATTTATTTAATTAAATAATACGAAAAAAATTTTTTTCTAATCAATTTTTGCCTTGATCGATCGCTCCCAAAAAAAAAAAACCCAATTTAATTTAATAAGAGGCGGATTTAAAGTGTTAAAATAAATAAATAAATAATAATAATAATAATTAATAAATTTAAAAGGAAATTAATTGTTAAATATTATAATAAATAAATAAATAAATAAATACGAAAATGATTTTAATTTTAATTAATGTTTTTTTCTTTTTATATTTAGTTAGTACAGGTTTTTTTTAAATTACTAATTAATAAATTTACTTAAACATGAAATTATTAATAAAATATTATTATTATTATTATTATTATTATACGACGACAATTTATCAAGTATTCAACAAGTGAAATTTTTTTATTCTTTTCTTTTAAATAAATAAATAAATAAAAAAAAACGAATACCGTTTAACGAATATTAAATTTCATTATTAATATTTTAAATAATTAATAACCATAAAAACATGATTTGCTTATGAAGAAAAAAAATAAACCGAGCTATTGTTATCATTATCATTATCATTATTATTATTAGGACATAAAAATAAAAATGAAGAGAAAATTTTTTTTTTATTTTTCAAAAGAAAAGTTTATTATTAAACGAGATGACATATTAATATAATAATTCCGCCTAATTACTTAATTAAAAATTATTTATTTGACGATAATAATAATAATAATAATAATAATACAATTATTATTTTTATACGAACGACGATTAAACTTTACCTAATTAATTAATTAATCATAAGCCAAGATATAATTATTATCATTATTATTATTACTCATACGGTACTAAGGTACGGTTTTATTTATTTATATATATATATAAGCACATAATTTAATGGATTTATTGCTTTTAAGAGAAAAATTATTTTTAAGCATCGTTACACATATAAAAGAAATTAATTTCTCCATTATGTCGTCACGAGGAGGGGAGGGGGGCCCACATAAGATTTAAATTATTTGATCGAAATTTAATTCGTATGTATTTCCTTACAAAAAAAAAAAAAAAAAAAACGGGCCACTTATTATTATTATTATTATTTAACTTAACTTTTTTCCGATCATTTCAATTATTAATTAATTAATTAATTAAAAAAAAAGAGAAAAGAATTAATTAAGCAAAATAATGAGTTTATTATGAGAATTCGTGAAGCAACGTTAAAAAACACAATCATGACTTCATTTCCTATTTAAACGTCATCAATTTTCCGACTAAAAGTCTTCTTCTTATTTTTACGATTTCTTAACGGTAGTAGTTTCTTCTAATATATATTTACTTTCACATTCAGGTATATTATATATATATAGTTAATTAATTACCTTAGGTTTGAATCCGAATCGGACGGACACAACAACCCACAACAACATTTCTCTCTCTCTCTCTCTCTCTCGATGCAAACACATACGAAAGAAATGAATTTAAATTTTTGATCTTTTCCTCGCAATGGCGTCTTCTACTGCTTTCAACTGCTTCAAAAGTTCTTCTCGTCTCGATGTCGTCTTTTTAGCCGTCTGAGGTTTAATCGTCGTTGTAACCTGAAACGAAAATTTATTTAAAGTATATTTTTTTTAAAATTTTTTTGATCGGGCTTCAAGTGAATTTCATGCAATTACTTTGGCATCGACTGCTGGCGTCGCATCATCCGATGGCCTTTTCTTTCCGGCAACAATCGCGAGAGCAGGTTTTTCTCTTTTCGTTTCCGGTGGTTTTAGTGTTAATTTGATTTGCGGTTTTTGACCAGATATTTTTAAAGCATCCATTGCTTTTCCTTTAAGCGTTTGAGCGGCCAATCGCTCGTTCGGTTCTATTTTTTTTACCGGTTTATTCGGCCTCACTATAAAAAAAAAAAAAAAAAAAAAAAAAAAAAATCCATCATTTTCGAATTAAAAAGGATTGAAAAAAAAAACCACGTGATTTACTACTACCTGGAGGAGTTCCTCCTCGACTCGTGCTCGAACTTGAAGAATAACTCGAATGTGAAGATTCGCTACTAGATCCACTCGATCCCGATCCCGATGAAGATCTTGATTTTTTAGATCTTATTTTACCGACTTTAGTACTATTGTGTTTTCTAAATAAAAAAAAAAAAACAACAACTTGGAAAAAATTTCTTTAAATTGAATTCAAATTTTTTTTTTTTATAAATAAATACTGACAACATGTTTCTGGACGAAGATTTAGGCGTTGGGGGAGGTGGATTTAAACCGACTTTTCTCATTACCGTAGGAGACATGGGTCTTTCTTTTGATCTTTTCGGTGTTGGTGCCGGCGGATTCATTAATAGAGAACGTTCAACGGTCATTTTTTTTTCCGAGTGGCCGCTAACAGGAGTAGCAGCTTTTAATGCTGTAAAAAAGGGATACGTTTTAATCACGGTTACGAAATAATATTAACATGGGAAAAGATTAACTTACGCCTGAACTTGGAATCCTTCGTGGGTGACAACTTCTTTCCTTTAACTTTGGCCGAGAAGGAAGGAGTTCTAGGTCTGCGAGATCGGGATACAGGACTATGGGAGTTAGACAAGGAACGGGATCTAGATCTAGAATAAGAAGTGTAAGATGAATTGGAGGAACTTCGAGAACTGAAAAAAATATTATTTTTACAAATAAATTACGCAATAACATAAAATTTTTCAGGTCTCTTTCCTACATAATTTTATTCTAATACTTACCCGGACCTAGATGAAAAAGAACTAGATCCGGAGCTATAAGAAGCCTTTCTGGCTCGATGACGTTTCCGCGAAGGGGATTTAGAACGCATCCAAGGATCTGACCACTCGTCACCTCTCCGCCTGGAACCATCGTCAGCGTGGTGTCTTTCTCTAGTCTTGTCTACTCGCTGTACAATAACTTCTCTAACCATTTTCTCTCTCCTGGATTTTTTCATTACCGGATATTCCTCTTCCTCGTAATATTTTTTCTTTTCTCTACGTACAAAATTATAAAATTTAACTTACCATTTACTTTACGTGTTACTGAATTCTTTTATTATATTAACCAACCTTCTCAAATATTCAGGATCTCCCCTTGCCCTTTCGTAACCGCGACGATAATCACATTTCTCGTAGTAAGCAGGAGACTCAGGTTCCGGTATAATATCTTCGTATCTTTCTACTACTCGAACCGGCCGTCTTAATTCCGGTTCCATTTTGGCGGATAGTCTTACACAAAAAGATAACAAAGTATAATAAAATAAATTAAAAAAAAAAAAAAAAAAAATTAAGTTTTTTTTTTTTTTAAAAATTAAAATCATTAATTACCTAACCCAAGCTTCGGGATCGTCTATAGGACTAGAAGCTCTAGTATAATAATCATTTTCTTTGTCTATTTCTTCTTGTCCAATACTAAGATTCATTTTTTTTTCTTCAAAATCCATATCAGTTTCTTTTCTCTTTGTAGATTTTCTCATCATCTTTAAAAACAAAAAAATTTTAAGTATTATTAATTTCTCTGCAATAGGATTTGTTACCTTCTTACAAAATGTCGCTAACTTGCAACAAAATTTAGAATTTTTTAAATAAGTTAAAATACCTCTTTGGCTTGACGTAAACCTCGTTCCCATGCAGATTCAACTAATGCATTTTCTTCCCTTCTTACAGGTACATGACCGTAAGGACCAGGCATAACCTAGTTTAATAAAAAAATTATTTATCGTTAATTAGGTTATTCATAAAAAATTAATATTTAAATAAATGAAAAATTAACCCTTGAAGGTGGTAAAATGACAGGATGTCCGTAACCGGGTCTGTCGGAACCATATATTGCAGGACCATTCGGAGGAGCCACCATGGGTCTTCCAACATCAAACATAGTGTAATTGCCTTTATCAGTGACTCCCGGATGAAGAAATCTATGACAAAAAAAAAAAAAAAAAAATTAGATTAGAGTGTTTTTCACGTAAAAGTTACGTCAAAAACAACTTTAAAAAATTACCTGCAATTTATTCCCCAAGTACAGCAATTCCGATTATAAAAACGACATACCGGCGGTTTTTCAGGTTTTGGGTCCCCCTCATCGGTTACTTCTCCGTCTTCTAAAGATTCGTCATCTTCTTTAACCTCACCTTCGTCAGCAGATTTTTCATCTTCTTTACCCTCTTTGTCTTTGCTCTTTTCAGGTAATTCTATTTCACCATCTTCTTTTTCTCCCTAAAAAATTTTATATTTTTTTAACACGGTACTGCAAGATGTATTGTAACTTGTGAATAAATAATTTACACTATTTTATCTTTATTGCAGTTGAAAATTTTTTGGTTATTTTTCTGTTTACCTCTGGTTGATCTTCTGCTTCAAAATCTAATTGTTCTCCATCATCTATATTTAAACTTGCTTTATTTTCTCTTTCTTGTCTTTCTTTTTTAGCTTTCTCTCGAGCTTCTTTTTCTGTATTTTCTTTCATAAAATTTTTTTCCGATACGGTTTCTTGATCTTCGGGTAATATTTTTTCTTCATTTTGCAATACGTTGTCGGCTGTGTTTTGTTCTTCATCTTTACCGTCGAGACCATCAGAATCATCTAAATCTGACACATCTGACAAGTCATCAGCATTAGACACCTGAACACACAAATTTCCATATATAAATATTTAAAAAAAAGAAAAACTAATTAGGTAATTTAGGCTTTTATATTAGATGATATTAATTACTGGAAAATTATTTCCAGGTGGGATTTTTTAGAATTTGCAACAAGAGGGCTTCCATCTCCAGCTTCTAAATTTAAAACGTCTTCATCTTTGTTGTCAGGATGTGAAAGAAGAGAAGAACCGGATGAAATATCACTCCTTCCATCATCATCTGAAATGTAATTAAAATATTCAAAATTAAGTTTAACAAAAAAATAATTATATATATATATATATATAAAAAAACAATTAAATTGATTCTAGTTTATTTTTGAAAGACAAGAATTTTAATCAGTAGTGCAAATACTTCTTTTTGGTCTACCTGCATTGTCTAAAGGAGTTGGGCTGGGAGATCTCGGACCCAAGGGTTGGCAAGAATTTGGCCCAGCAGAATCACTTCTAAGAGATGTCATTTCTCTTGAATCATCGTGAAATTCTAATTCATGAGATTGACTAATGCTATCTTGTGATTTGGGTGAACAACTTTTTGGAGTGTGCGGGCCTTTTACGGCACCTAAAATAATTATGTGAATTAAAAACATAATTCATGTAATTATATTAATAGTTTTTGATTGAAAATTTAATCGAACCTTCAACCTCTTCACGTTGATTTTCAAAATCACTGTCTGAATTATTTGCATGGTTCCTTTCTTCAAACTCAGATTCCGAGCTGTCTGAGCTCATTTTTTTTTTTAACACTTCAGGGAGGTTCAAATCTGTTTAAAAAAAAAATAAAAACCTTTAAATTATTTAAAATATTCTTATTAATTCAAATACTTAAAGATGAAATCGAAGCATGGCTGCTTAAGTACTTCCCAAGATGCAGAAATAATGCTTGACAGATTTGAAATAAAAAACCAAATTTCTGGTTAAAAAAAAAAAAAAAAAAAAGAAACTAACATGTTTTCCAATAAAATAAATCCAATTACTTAGAATGATTTTATTTAACTCATTAATAAAATCATTTGAAAGTAATTTTTTTTTCAGTCGCCTTTTCCATCATGTAAAAAATAATTTTTAAAAATTAACAACCAATTTAAATAATTTCATATTAAAACTTAAACGGTACTTTTCATTATTATTATTATTTTTTAAAAATAATTTGGAAGAATAATAAAAAAAAAAAAAAATATGTATATATAAAAAATAAATAAATTCCACATAAGTTCTAAAACAAAAAAATTTTTTTTTAGATTTATTTTTCCACGACAAATTAGTTCCAAAACTGCAGTAGCCATTCATCATCAGAAAACAACTTTTAAAGATGAAATAAATGAATCCACTCGATAATAAAAACTATTGTAATTTGCCTCTACACTTGATAAAACAAAAAAGAAGAATAATTTTCTCAATGAGTAAAAAAACTTAAATTGTAGCTATTAATAAAAAAAATACATGAGCAGTGTAACAAAAAAAAATACAAATAAAACAGTTGAACCCAAAACATTTTCTTCAAGTTTTTTTTTTTTTTATGTAAGAATTGAAATTTCATTTTTTATGTGAAATAATAAAAGCATAAGGTCTTTGATTACTATATTTTCAAGGTAGAAATAAAATTTTTTTTTTAAAACTATATCACCATGTTCAAATAACAATAAAAATTGAATATGTAAGCGGTCATGTAATAATATTGTAAAACAATTTAGAAATGGGCCTAGAACTTACTTTTAAAATTGTGAAGTTGCTTTACATAAAGTAAAGTTAAGAATATTGAAAGCAAACATTACTATTTATATCTGAAATAAGCATTTGGAATATGAAGCAATTATGATATAAAATAGCTCATCTACCAAATTGATAATGATTACTTACTACGTAAAGTAACATGGTGTGAATACTAGCCTCATAGTTAATAATAATTTTGGAACCTTTTAATCGGAAATCATTTAAAATGCATATATTCCATTTGCTATCTCAGACTTTTTTTTTGAAAGATATTGATGGTTTATTGCCAACTCATTTTTCCTACAACAATATTTACAAGCCATGGACAATTTTGGTCTTCAGGGATCTTACCTGATTATTAATTGGACCATTTTCAGATTCAACTGAGTAAGCCCAAATTCAGTTAACAACCTTCCATAACTTACACTTCATCCCTGACTGCACTCAGGGAAAACCACTGTTAAGGTAACTTTTTTTTTTTTTTTTTTTTTTTTTTAATTTTTTTTTTAAATACTAGATCACAAACTTGAATTCCCACAAACTTTGGGAATAATAACTTTAAATAATTGCAACATTATTGTTATACACTCAACTAGTGCTCGAAAAGCACTAGCAACTCTTTAAAATAAAATAAAAATAAAAAACTAACAAAACAAAACTTATTTTAAAAAAAACTCGCGAAAACTTCGTACTTTATTAAATTTAAATTTATTACAACTAAAAACTTATTCACGACACAATGAAAGAAACTGAAGAGTTTGATGCTGAAAAAGGAAAAACGAAAAAAAAAAAAAAAAAGGCAAGCCATTTAAGGTGCCTGACCTGAAGAACCGGCTATACAGCACTGGGACTTCGGAAACTGTATGTAATTCTTACCTCTAAAATTTTTTTGAAGACACTCGACTGGTGTACGACAATATCTAAATTATTTTACATTAAACTCTTAAACTATTTATTTATAATATAATTGAAAAATCCTTAAAGATGACGACGGTACAAAAAATGGCGTCTAAAGCTGCATGAAAAATATTTTGCAGAAGTGCCAACATAAATTTGTGCGAGTGTAAGTAGAAAATTGTAAAACGATTCTTCTGCCACGTTTGTATTAATTTAAAATTATACACCGCTTAATCTAAATAAATATTACATTGAAAAATACTAAAAAAAAAAAAATTCTCATAAAAGTTTTCCTAAATCCATTTATTTATTTATTTTTTTTGAAAATTGCAACAAAAAATATAATAAAATTTAATTGAATAAATTTATTTTATTAATAAAATTATTTTATATGATAATATTAATAATTTATGTTTCACATTTTATTATTAAAAAAAAATACACTTTATCAAAATCATGCTATACTTTTAATGAGAGATCCTAAAAATTAATTGATATAAATATAAAAACATTAAAAAAAAAAAAAAAAAAAACAATGTATAAGTTTTTAAGTTACAAAATTAACAAAAAATTAAAATAAAAAAGAATTGCTTATATTTAACAACTCTAAATTTAATTTTAAAATAATACAGAAAAATAATTTTATTTTTTTATTTTTTCTTAAATAATTGAGCTTAGAATGAAAAAAATATTGGGCAAATATAGTAAAAATTAATAGTTTATGTAAATCACAGTGCACAACAACCAATAATCATTTAAGTACAATTATTTTTTTTTTTAACTTGACTTAATATTTAAAAAAAAATAAAATAAAAATAAAAAAATTGGGCAATAATTTGTTTTTATTACCATAATAATAACAAACACAAACAAAACAATCTAATATATATAAAAAAAAAAATAATAATAATAATGAAATTAAATTTATATTCAAATAAGAATAATGTTAATTAGTTAGTTAGTGACATATTAAATTTTTTTTCTTATTATTTTTATCCACCAGTCCAGTTCTTTAATAAATGTAAATATATATATATAATATTGAAATGGCAGTTTTCATAATTTTTTTTTTCTTTTTTTTTTTTCTTTTTGACTATTATTATTATTATTATTATATGTAAATAATAATGAATTTAAATTGATTTTTTTTTGTTTTAAAAACTAGTTACTGTGGGCCATTTAGCTTTATGTTGATCAACTCCAAATCCTTCATCATAATTTCCTTTAGAAATAAATTTTTGTTTAAAATGTGGAAGACAATAGAGATTTCCGCAATTTAAAGTAAACGTTTCCATTCTTAAAAAAAAAAAAAAAGAAAAATAATAATAATAATTAAATCCTTTTTTTTTTAAAAGGAAAATTTTGAATATTACCTTAGTAAACAATTGCACTGCATACATCTAAAACAAGCTTTGTGAAATATTTTTCCAGATGTTTCAATTTTTTCTAATTGATACACTCGGAGTCTGCAAACCTCGCAAAGTTCCGCCATGTTGTTTTGAATTTCCTATTAAAAATACAAAAAATTTTTACAATTTTTTTCCGTTACAAAATAATAACAACTTCTTAACTAATTAATTAAAATAAAATATTAAAAAAAAAAATAAACACATGTGTAAATAAATTATTGAACTATACTCAAAACAAACATATATATATATGTATATTTGGCACTGAATTACACAAAATAATTAAATATATATATATATATCTAAATTAAAATTAATAATAATTATTTAAATTAATAGAGAAAACAAAAATTTCTTTTCAATTTCTTTCATTACACACAAATATTTCAATTAATATAAGAGGTATTTAATATTATCATTATTAATAATAATAATAATAAATATTTTATTACAAATATTTTGATATTTTAAATAAAAATTACAATTATTTAGAAAATAAAAAAAAATTAATAAAATTTTTTTAATTGGATTTTAATAAAAATATTTTAAATAAAAAAAAATAAAAAAAAATACACAGAAATAATAATAATAATTATTTCTTTTTTTAAAAAATTAATATTTCAATTTAAAATAAAATAAAATAATAAAATTTACAAAAAAAAAAAAAAATGGATAATAAATAAATAAATAAAATAAAATCAAATGTTTATGTAAAAATGGTCTAACGTACAGCGAATAATATTATTATTAAATATGTTATAAAAATTTTTTTTTTTTTAATGATTATAGTATAATAAGTTAATATAAAAAAATTTATTTATTTATTTATTTATTTTTAATATAAAAAAAAAAAATTTATACCGAAAATTTTATTTGAATATATTTATATAAATAAATAAATTTAAAAAAAAATTTTTTAATATACGTACTTATTACGATTTTCAACACAAATCCTAATTTATTTATTTATTAATAATTATTATTATTATTTTAAGAACGTTAAAAACATAAAAATTAAATATATATAATTTAACATAATAAAAAAAAAGAAAATTTTAAACAATAATAAAATAAGATTTTTTTCTTTATTTTTAATTTACCAACATAAATAACAACTAACTACTTATAAAAAATGATTTATTGATTTAAGATAAGCGTAAATAACAAAATGCTTTTTCTATTTAATAAAAAAAAAAAATAAATAAATAAATAATTAACAGAGAAAAAATAAAAAATTATTTTAATGTTCTACGTACATTCAAATATTGTAATAATAATCGCTCCTAAATTAATAATTAATAATTAATTATTAAGCTCTTATTTATAAAAATTATTATTAATTTAATAAAATAATTAATTGGCTTTTTTCAATTATGGCATCTCACATTTATTTAATTACCATGTGTAAATTATCAAGCTTTTTAAATTTATTTATTTATTTTCATTATTATGTTAATAATTATGCGAGAAAAACAAAAAAAAAATTTTTTAAGTTATGTAATAATAATAATAATAATAATATCCTTCCACAACGCAATCCCTTTTTCTTACGCATTTATTTTTATTACTAATATTACATAATATTATTGCATTTTATTTATTTATTTATTAATTAATAATTTACCGTGCAGTTATTAAATCATTATTAAATTATTTAGAATAAACATTTGTGTTAAAATATCCGTTTTTTTTTTAAATAAAAAAATTATTGAATAAGATTTTTAAAAAAAAAAATTTAATAATTTTCCTTTAATAAAAATGGCGGTCATGACGAATCGATTAAAATAATTTAAAAGAAAATCCCATAAATAAATTGTGTGTGTGTGTGTGTGTGTAAATTTCTTCATTTGTAAAAAAAAATCAATTTTAATAAAATCCATTCCATTCCATCATTTACTGAAACATAAACAGAAAAAAAAAATTTTTTTTATCAATAAAATAATTTTATAAAAATTAAAAAAAAAAAAAAAAAAATGTTAATAAATAAATGTGAAAAAAATAAATAAAACACAATTATTATTATTATTATTACACATAATAATTCGAACAATAAATAAATAAATAAATAAATAATAAAAAAAACTTACCTCTATGTGACGAGTGCGAAAACCAAAATAAATAAATAAATAAAAAAAACGTTTTTAATTTT